TCTTTATGCTGAGGAAGACTGGCCCTGAGCTAACATCGTGCCCATCTTCCTCTACTTTGTATGTGGGACACTTACCACAGCATGGCTTGCCAAGTGGTGCCATGTCTGCACCTGGGATCCGAACCGGTGAACCCCTGGCCGCCAAAGCGGAACGTGCGCACTTAACTGATACGCCACCGGCTGGCCTGAAAAAGACCCATTTCTTCAAGGATTTGACTACTCCTGCCAAAATAGGACTAAATGCCAAAGGACATGACCCTTAATTTGAACCAATAGCTATTAGCAGAGTGATTTCCTTCTGAACACAAGGAGGCCTTAAGGAGTAGTTCATGAGTACTGTCATGTGCCACATAATGATGGTTTGGTCAACGAACGACCATATATACGACAGTGGTCCCATAAGATTAGAACCATATAGCCTAGGTGTGTAGTAGTCTGTTCCATCTAGGTTGTGTAAGCACACTCTTGTGATGTTTGCACAACAACAAAATTGCCTAACAACACATTTCTCATATATCCCCATCGTTAAGCAGGGTACAGCCATGCGAGTAGTATTTTATGGGATACAGCAATGCCCTAGCTTAACCTGGCTGCCCCTTTTAATGAATTTACATTATTATAAAAAGAGTACATGAGGAAGAAGTGCTAGAAGACTATAAGAACAAGGAAAAGTTTTCATTTTCTGTCAGGTGAAGATAATGTTACAAGAGTTTACAAAGAAATGATCCTTAAAAAAATTATATATAATAGGTATATGGAAAAAACCTTAATAGCAATAGACTGCTCAGCTTTAGAGGATGGAAAAAAAATTCAGCTTTGGACTCTAGAACAAGGTCACTGAAGAGAGAAAGAAAATACAAGAATGATTATTTTTAAGGAATTAGTAATACAGTACGAGTTAGGCAAGTCTGGGTGAGAGACTTACCTTTCGGAAGACCTGCCATACCACTTTGAGAGGAACCTGTTTCATGGAGGTGAAGGCCCCATGCTATTCTCCCAGAGCAGGACACCACTCTGCCCCAGAGAGCCAAATGAACAGTAGAATTGTCAGGGAATTCTATTGGCATCCATCATGACACTGACATTCTCTGTCCTGATACAGTCAAAGAAAGCACGAGAAACCTGTTTTAATAATGGACTTTAAATATTTAGATGTGAATTAAACTTGATACCTAGTAATGTTCCAGTCCAGCTGAGAGAGAGGGCAATTTGACCTAGTCTCCTTAAAATGAATTTATGTCTCTACCATATTAGAAATTACAGCCCCTACCAATGATTTCTCAAGTATTTGCTTCTAGGGCTGGATTTTAACTAACACCAAAGAAATGACTGGGGTAGTCATTTTAATGTGGGTGAAATTAACTCTCTACATCAAATTTCTGGTCAGAAGCTACCAAAACCCTACACACGTCTATTTACAACAAATTATCATGGTTATCTTAATAACTTAATTCATTTGATAAGAGTGTACTTCTGAGAGTACTCTAGGAGCAAAACAAACTATTTTTAACTGCCATCAGTGACTAGATAATTGTCTTCCTGTTTATTTCAATTCCTGGTTGTTTATTTCAATTTCCGGTTGGAAGTGAGTTGCGTATGTAGAGTCTCTGGAAGTAGTGTCAGATCAAATACTGCCAACAAAGAACAAAGTTGGGGAGAGAAGGCTTCAGGGAATCTTGAACCACCATAAAATAGACATGATAAGAGAAAATTACATTTTTTTCAAAATTTACTCCATTTACTTGTTGGTGTTCCCATCTCTTGTATTTTCTTTCATCCCACTGGTTTCTATGGCTTCCTTTAGATCTGGGAATGGAAACACTTTTCGTTTATATGGTATAGACTCAAGCACACTGCTTGTCATTGGCTGGGACAAGGCAGGGAAAAGCTGGTGGTCTTGCCTTTCTTTTCCCTCTCAGGTGACTTTTACTCACTTCCCCTCTTACCTTGTTCCCCTCTGGCCTCCTATAGGGCTGTGGGGCTGTATAGATACCTCATTTCCCACTACCCCCTCATCCTCCCATGTAATGCTCACCTAGAACTGCTGGCTTTAGCAAAACTACCAGATGCCCTGTTAAATGTGAATTTCAGATAGACAATGAATATTTTTAGTATAAGTATGCCCCTGCAATACTTGGGACATATTTATACTGAAAAGTCGTTACTTATCTGAAATTCAGATTTAAGTGGGAGTCCTGTATTTCATCTGGCAAGCCTACTCTCACCCTGTGGTCCAGCAGCTGCCTGGTCCCTCTTCCTGAGACTCCGTCTTAAGTCCTAGCCTGAAAGGATAGCCAAACCTAAATACCACCATTTCATCACAGTCCTCTATGTTGCTATTATTCTAGTTGTTCTCAAAAGGGCCCCGTTACTCGCTTTTCTCTCTGTGAATTTTGAATTGCTGAAGGATGGACAAATACCAGCTCCAGACTCCATTTAGCCTTGCCCTCAATGACCCCGATAATTTCTTTTTTAAATTGAGTTCATAATAGTTTACATCAATGTGAGATTTCAGTTGTACATTATTTCTTGACTGTCACCACATAGGTGCTCCCCTTCACCTGCTGTGGACCCCGATAATTTTGATTTGTAGCAAATGAAGATAAGAGTCACCACGATGGATGGACCAGAATTCAGGTAACTATATTACACACCTTTCCTTTCCATTCCTGTTTTAGAATGAGGCTATCAGGAAAAAAGAAATCTAATGGATGAATTTTATAGTGCCTTGGGACAGTTTTTTAAAAAGTGAGAAGCTTGCTAGACGACCTAGGAAGCAGTAATTATACTTAAGTGCAAACTTGAAGAGAAAAATTAATTTAATGTGAAGAACAAGGCACCTGAGGTGAGGTAGTCCCAATGGAACCCTGAGAGAATGAACTCAGGCTTCTCCTGTGAGATTTTCTCCTTATTGGGTCTGAGGACTGCAGGTGGAAAAGACAGTACAAATTCAGGCGCATGCCAGAGGGAAGCACAAAGCTCTTTAGAAATAGTTTTCAGCGGCAGAGTCAATGCCCTTTCAAAGCCTTCTTTGTTCTCTGCTGACTTTAAAGACACTATCAATCGCAAGCATAGCATTTTAAAGAATTCCTTCCCATTGTGTCCGGGACCTTGCCAGACAGATAGCTGTTTCACTCAGGTGATCAGAAGACAAAAGAGCAGCCTAAGTGTTTGGCACCAGCACTCCCCAGGGGCCTGTGTCAGAGCCATTTACTCTGAGCAGTCCTAGAATGGTTCCCCTGCTCCTGGACAAAGGACAGGTGCACCTCAATTTACCTCAAGCAGGAATTTTGGGCTTTTGTTTCTCACTGGTATTGAAGAGTTCAAAAATAATGCGATTTCCTACCACAGTTTTCTACACTGACAAGCCATTCTGGAAACATGGGTCCCTGAAGAGGTTCTCCCTTGTTCCCTTCCTCTCATTCTCCCCCATTTCTCTTATGTGGCTCACCAAGTTTCTAAATCTAAATACCAGATGCCCTATCATTCAGTCTGTCTGAGTTTTTATGCACGACTCAAGCCTAGATCAGTGTACAGTAGAAGAAAGAATATTTGGCTGGGAATCAGAAGAGGTTGGTTATGGTTGAAATGTCTCCACTAACTACCTGTGGGATCCCGGGAAACCATTTCATCTTTCGGAAACCGTTCCTCCTCTAGAAAATGCTACTGTTGGACTTTCTGTTCTTCAAGGTTCACTCCTGTTCTAAAATTCTAGGATTCTTTTTGTATTCTCCCCTATCTTTATGTGCAACTTGTGAGGAATCTGCATTAGGATTTTAGACAAGATTATTTAGCAAATGCTTTTTTCTTTTATAAAGTTTTCTTAAAAAAATAGGATAGTTCTTTTTAATAAAAGCACAGCTCACTGAAAGCACAGTTATCTAAGTGTGTAGTTTATGAAATTTAGAAAGTAAGCAGATTGGAGTTTGAGAAGCTTTCTGATTCTGAGCATCCTTCAATGCTTTCAATGTGTCAATCACTTTCCTGGGGAGCTCTTTCATCTAGGTGTGCAGCAGTGTTGGCTCCAGTAAATGCATAAGGAGAGGAAACATCCCCTCCTGTGTTTTTCCTGGATTCTTTCTCTGTGTGTAGTACATAACAATGATGTAATAATAATATCATACTTATATCCATGTATATGGTTTTATGTAAATGAGGTCATTGTTTTTATGTAAATAACTGTATTTTTATGCTAATATACTTTTTTGACATACATTGTTGTAAATGCATCAATTTTAAGTGTTTAGGGTGATGAATTTTGACTAATATATACATACACTGATGTTAGCATCAGCCAGAACTTTCTATTACCCCCAGAAAGTTCTCTCGTGCCCCTTTCCTCAGGCAACTACTATTCTGATTTTTATCACCACAGATTCGTTTTGCCTGTTCTTGAATATTAAATCATAAAGTATGTACAAGTAAGGAAAGAACTGTCATAAAGTGTGGCAGACATGAATATTTTCAGCTGAAATCAAGGCCCCGTGAGGTGTAAGCTGGCTAGCAAGGGGGTAAAACAGGGAACTATTAAAACTTAATCACTTTGTTAAACTAAGTCAAACTTGATTAAATGAAAAAAATCAGTACACTTTAGAAAGCCCTCATACCAAGTGATGGAATTAATAGTGTTCACAAAATGTTGAACCAATTTGGAAAAGGCATTATAGAATGAAAAAGAAACAACAATAGTCTAGAGAGAAAGAATTGCCCCCTTTCTTCCAACCCAAATCATTGGGTGGGTGGTAAGTAAAAGTTGCCAATAAGCCTTTGATATCTTGGCTGGTTTATCACAGAAGACCATAATTGATTAAGTGTGGGTGGGAGATAATGTGTAGAGGATGAGATGATATCAGAAATGGGAGAAGGGGGTTAGAAACAACCCAGGGCCCAGAGCCGGATGGATTGGTTCTGCTATTAGTAGACCCGCAAGGTGAGGTCAGGAGGAGCAAAATGGATATCTGAAGTACCTGTCGCTCAAGTAAGTGGAATGGCTGACCAAATGGGAGAAACGTAGGCTTTATTCTGCACTGAGTTCCCCAACTCTGGATAAACCTCCAAAAACAAACGTTAGGGGGAAAAATGTAACTGGTTGTGAAAAGATATTATCGCATTTAATTAAAAAATCAATTTGTTGACATACAAACCAACTGGACCAAACAGGATAAACTGGATCAAACAGGATGAAGCAATGCTTTAAACAAGCATTGACTTAAGAGCTCTGATGTCAACCAGGAAGGCAGCCAAACACAAATTTAGCACGAGGGTAAGAGTCTTTATGTCTTTCGGTGAAGGCAAAGCCATTTGGTTGGTACTTCATAGGAATACCTTTCCACCAGGTCTTCATCATATGGTATGTGCCACGAGTCTCCAGTTGTTTGCACCACTGTGTCATGGCTGAGAATACGCTGTTGAATTAAAAAGGGAACCAAACATTGAGAACAACACTAAAGGGTTACCTGGCCATTTCCCTTTCCTTTCTGACAATGTCTCCATTTGTTTCAGAGGAGTATTCTCTGTCTTACTTAACAATGGATTTTTTCAAAGAGCAGCTAGCTCTGCAGAGATGAACCCTAGTATTAGGAGTTCCTTTTTTGGGGAGTTTCATTTTTAAGGTTAAGGATTCTCTATAGGAGCATTGTATTTATAGGATACAGTGTTCCTTTTGTTGACTTTATTGGTTTTGTATATGAGAGAGAAAAGTAGCGAAATAGTATAACGAATTCCTGTGTACCCATAGCCTAGTTTCAATCATTATCAACTCATAGTTAATCTTATTTCATCCATACCCCACCCACTTCCTTTCCCAAGCCCTCCCCATCCCCAAGATTATTCTGAAGCAAATCTCAGATATTAGATCATTTCTTTTGTAATATTCAGCATGTATGTCTAAAAAATAAGGACCTATTTTGTAAATACAAGATCAATACCATTATTACACTTAAGAATTAATAATTCCTTAACATTATAAATTTTCTACTGTTTACATTTCTCCAATTATTAATTGAGTACATACATTTTACAGTTTGTTTGAATAGGAATTGAAATAAGGTTATTACATTGTGACTAACTGAATTGACTCTTAATTCTCTTTCAGTCTAGAGCTTCCCTTTCCAACTATTTTTCTTACAATTTTTTTGTTTTTGAGGAAACCAGGTGAGTTATCCTGTATCATTTCCCACAGTCTTAATTTTGCTGACTGCATCTCTGTGATATCATTTGATACCATATTTCCTATAAATTTGTTGTTTTGTATGTTTTTTGACCATTGGACCATATTTACCATTGGCTAGTTTATTTTTCTGTATTAACTTGCCTTTGGAGTTTCTCCCTTTGATTTCACTTGAGAGGCATCCTTGTAGATACAGGTATCTAAACTAGAATCAAAGGAAACTGTGCCATAGAAGTGGATTAAACAGGTAAAAGGAGTAACTTAGCAGAAGTAGCAGTATGACAAACCACAGGGATAAGGAATTTTGAACTACTGCAAATCAAGAGGAAAATATAAAACACATGAGGAGTTGTAATTGATGACATAATTGAAGTCACAATTGAAGACATCCTAGGTGTTTTCAATATGTCAATTAATGTGGAGTTGGCCTATGAAACTTTTCCTCTGGCAGACTTTCTGTGTCCAGGAATTCGCTAATTCCAAACATCAAACTAAAACTGAGGAAAATAAAGCATTTAGAACCTTCAATTAGTTGCAGCATTCTTTGACTATGCCACATTCTTACTATATACTTGACTCTGTTGACACTGTGTAGAGAACAGGTAACATACCTGAAAGGTTATTTTTGATCCTGGAAGCCTGTTAATAATTGCCAGCTGATGTCCCTGCTGCCACTTAAAGAACAGGCGTTGGGTCTTGGCATCAGGTAGACAGGCCTTGTGGTCCCGCATCAGATCTTTTGTGATAAACTTGCAGTGGTTCCCCGAGTGCAGAGTGGCATACAGAAGGAACGGATCATCCTCCGAGCTGAGCCAGGCATAAGACAGGACACAATCAAGCGCAGCCCAGAGCGGGTAGAGGATAGCACTCTTCACCATGCTTTTTACTTCCAGTCTACTTTCCTCAGAGGGGCTCTGCATTCTTAACCAACATGATCTCAGTGATTCTTACGAACCATCTGCAAGCCCTTAGCTGGTAGGCAACACTATCTAGAACACAGATGGAAAGCTAAGGGGAAGGAAATGCTAATGCTAACTCTAACAGCTCAACTAGGCTCTCCCACTAGAAGGAAGAATTCTAAAAATAATTCTCTCTTTACACTCAAAAGTTGTTTCTCTGTGTTCCCAGGGCATTTTTCCTATTTGCCTCATCCACCAGACAGCACACGTTTTCTCCCCTTTCCTCACTCAAATTCAAGAAACACTCATAATACTAATAGGGCAGGATGACACTTTCTTGCAAGCCACCAAAAATAATGGGCTGGCCTCAAAGCTGAAACTGGTATCTCACAGCAGCTCCTGGGAGTCACATGGCTTAGCACCCGAAGGCATCTCCTGCTTTGAGAAGAGCCAGTGACTCAGAGTCTCCAACAGACTCTCAATGTCAGCACTTACCACCTTAGCACATGTGCTGTAAAAACGGCAGTAGCTACCCTGGCTCAGGAGATTTGGACTGCAACATGTGATAGGTGTTAGGCCTCGATCCAAATGACCCAAAGTAGGACCAGTTAATGTTTACTTTGTACTGGAGTATTTCAACTGAAATGATAAAATTACTGGAATCTGCCTTAAAAATCTCCAGGAAAAATGTGGCGGGGGGGGGGATATATGGAACAAGATTAGCAAAATGATGGTAATTGTTGGAGCTAGGTGACAATTATGTGGGGATTCACTACACTATTCACTCTAGTGCATGTTTGAAAAGGCTTCTTTGGCACATTAATGGAAAATAGAGTTAACGTTAAACTTAAATATTCAAATCCAAAGCCATGGAAGGTCACTGAATCAATCTTTACAACTAGGTTTGGAAGTTTAGCAGATGCAATAAATACAGGCCCCAAACCAAGCATGAAACCAATTTCCAACAGGATTCTTGGTTATAACATTTTGCATTTACCCAATTCTTCCACCTAAGAAAAATAACAATGATGATAACAGCAACTAACATATACGCTTTCATGGACTTGGTGCTGTGCCAAGAGTTTTACATGCATTATTTACAGGTATTATCTCATTTAATCTTCACAACAACCCTATGAGGATTACATATGAAGAAGATGCAAAGAAGGGCAACACCTTCCCAGATAGGAAGTGGCAGGGCCATGATCTGAACCTGGGTAGACTAATTCCCAAGCCTGCACTCCTAATGTCTACGCCATGTTGTCTAAAGTGATTGCATGAAGAGCATTCTTATTGTCTTCTACTCCTGGACACATGGAAATACCCCCTCCCATGAATAAATAAAAGGACTTAGCTAAAGCAAAAAGCGAAAAGGTTAGCTAAAGCAAAAAGGGAAAAGATTAGCTAAAGAAAAAAGGTTTGGGATCTGAATGAGGGGTTAGCCTTCTGCTTCATGCATCAAGAACCATTTTACTTTTCTAAGAATAAATGATTTGGGGCATACTGACAAATCTTGAAGTTATCACAATCAACCTAATAAAACCTACACCTGGGGCTAAGGCACACACATTGTCCATGCAAAGTTGGAAATAAACTTTTGTCAGCATAAACAGTATGAAAAATGAAAAGCCTGTTTCTATGTGCTGTTGAAGATCTGTGCTCCTGCTGATTAGCTGCTTTCCTCTTTATGGACGCTGTACATTTTGTCCCTGATCATGTTTTCCATGTTCCTTTGGCTCCCTGGGAAGCTGGGAGCATCACTCCCTTTATATTTAGAATAAAATCCAGGCCCCTTGCTTGCCCATTAGAGCCCACAACGTCCTCGGTACTGTGGTCCCTGCCTTCTCTCTGCCTCAGAAGCTACTGCTTTCCTTCTTGTTACAGCCCATTTACACTGGCCTGCTTGCTTTCCTAAAACATGCCAAACTCATTCCTGCCGCACGGCTTTTTTAACGCTTGCTGTTCCCCCACCTGGATGTTCTTCCCACCATTTCTCCCCCATTCTCAAATGCCTCACTCCTTCCCTTCAGATCTGCCCCCTCCCAAAGGTCTTTCCTGACGGCTCCATCCACTACCCTCTGACCTACCCCTACCCAATCCCTTTCTATCTCCTCATTTGGGCTTATTGTCTTCAGAGCACTGATCACTGCCTGCAATTACATTACCTGTTTATTTGTTTACCTGTTTACTATAAGCTCCAAGAGGGCAGAGACTTGCTCTCGTTTACTGCTGTTTCTCCAAGAACACGGAAGTTGCTCATATTTGTAAAGTAGTTCTTAAATGATCTATTCAGGACTTTATGACATGCATTCTGTGTACTAATCTCACTTCTGACTTTATCTTCCCCCCATTTCTCCTTTAACCTCATCTATTTAAGTTTATCCTGCTGTAGAAACTGTATTTTTGTAAACTGCCTCAAGTCTTAGTTTTTTTGAATGAGGCTGAGTATATATACACACAAATGCACTTTAAAAATGGTGAAAACAGTAAGCCAGACAGAGAAAGACAAACACCGTATGATTTCACTCATATGTGGAAGATAGAACAAACACATGGATAAGGAAAACAGATTAGTGGTGACCAGAGGGGAGGGGACTTGGGGGGAGGGCAAAAGGGGTAAAGGGGCACATATGTATGGTGACAGATGAAAACTAGACTATCGGGGATGAGCATGATGCAGTCTATACAGAAACTGATATATAATAATGTACACCTGAAATTGCACAATGTTATAAACCAATATGACCTCAATAAAATAATTTTAAAAAATGCTGAAAATAGGTACTAACAAGCAGATGACTGGAGCTTAGTGTAATTCGCCTATTACCTTCTGTACTTACATGTTGTCAGCAAAGAAACAGCTGGCTTGCTTTTGCACCATTTCCATCTCATCTCTTCTCCACCGGGAACCCTGCCTCAGCATGTGCTTCCGGCCCAGCACCAGCAGTCGCAGATTCTGCTTGGCTAGTTGAGAGACCACATCCAAGAGCTAAAAAACACAAAGCCAGCCCCCAAGAGGGTCAAGGGAAGAACCTCAAGTCAGTGGAGTGATTCTTCCAGCTGGTAATCTCAATGGTGAAGCACTCTTTTTCTGGTAAGAGGTGAGAAAACAGTCCTTAAAATAACTTTCCATCTTTGTAAGCCCGAGGAAAATGCTTCCTTATTACAAATTAATGTGTAACACCTGCCCAATGGTCAGGCTCCACTGGATCCAGGAGGGTTTTCTAAGCATAGACTAGATGAGTTGTAAACTGTGTTCCCTCGAGTCCAGTGGGATATAGACAGGGAGGCTAAGGAGGATGGGGTTTGGATCCTATACATTCCCATTCCAGTTTCAACCAAAACAGCTCAGCTTCTGTATGTTTCTATACTGGTATTCTGCATATATTTTCATTTGAATAAAGGGTTCTACTTCTTTTTTCAAAAGTTTGTAAATGGCTGGACTAGAGAGTGACTTTTTGGCCGACTTTTCCATGTTATGATTCTGCTGAGATTGCTACCTTTCATTGAAATCTCTTTTTCCTCCCAAAGGTCTGTCAGTATCCATTCTGTAGCCTATTTCGTCAGTGAATTTACCCCCATTCTCTCTACATGTCTTGTGTGCACAGGAACTCCTCTCAAAAGTCTAGACTTGGACTTTTAGTAAATCTAGTCACTTTGGTGAGCTTGCCTACCTACGTTCAATCTTTCATAAGGAAAAGTCCATATTACTTTCATGTACAACCTATTAAACTAAGCTATAAAGGGATATATTAAGTAAAATAAAAACTAATGAAAAATTAAAACATGTTATATAATAGTGTATCAGAAATATAAAAGTTCTTTAATTTATAAGAATTGCTGAGCCTACAAAAAATCAGAAGTTGAAAGTCATTGAAGAGATCTTTAATTTTCTTGGTTATTGATTGGAAAAGCCACTGATTTTAGTCTAGCTTCCCCTTACTCATAATTTCTTCCCACGTATATTTTCAGGATATTACTTAAAATTCTTTAATCAATAAAATTTCATTTATTTGGTTAGTTGTCAAATATTGCTTTAGCACCTTTTATGTCTAATATACATGTAGACTCTCTGACAATCTAATAACGAATTACTAAGGGCTGAATTTTTGAATTACTGCTTAATGCTTTGGATTTATATTGTTTTTTGTCCATCCCACTCCATTACTAATCTTATTACTTTAGGAAACAGTTGTTGGTTTTATTATCCCTAATTATTAGTTCTAGAATTAAGACACAGAATGGACACATCTTGCCCACGGAATGTGAGCTAGTACTCAAGCAGAGAAGTATACCAAGAAGTGTGTGAGGACTCTAAAAGCAAAGCTTTACAACTAGTAAAATATAATTCTTTCCTTCAAAGCTAGAAATAATGGCTTCTATATTCACTCAACAGTTATTTCCCAGGCCTCGCTATGCATAAGGCACATGGTAAGTACACAGCCCACAAAATTTTAAAAGACGTGGTCCCTGCCTTTACTGAGGGAGTGTCTAATAATTTTCTTACCCAACTATTAAGCCTAGGAAGACATATATGCGCTGGCTTTACATATATTGGATGGTTAATAAACATTTTCTGATTAGCTGAAGAATATGTCCACATCTATTTTTATCCATCATAAAAGTAGCTCATTATGGAAAACTTGAAAAATATAGACTAGAAGAAAGATGAAAGAAGAAGCCACTCATATGTCACTACCCAAAGACTGCTAATACGTATTTATGTCTTTTTATTTTATGCATTTTTATATAATCTTATAAGCTATTATTTTAAAAGTTAGGCTAGTAATCAAAGCAAACGTCTACACTAAGAAAGTTTGGTTCATGGATCAAAACACCTCAAAAGACATTGACAGTGCATCTCCTTCAGAATGCACTTATAACACTCCTTTGTTAAAGTTATGCTGAGATTACAGATTATTTTCAATGAGCCCAGATACAAAATGGCAACTGGATTCATTAAGAGGAGTGACAATTACTTTCTTCATATCTATATCCTACTTTAGATAAATGGCCTTGAGTTTACTAATATTAAATTAAAGATAGGGGCCCAAGGAAGGGTAGAAAAGGCTTAGCGTGGACTACTCTGGGGCACCATCTTGTGGCTGAGATGTCTCTACTAGCAGCAGCTCTCTGAAAATGGTGCAAAAAAGGAAAATAAAGGAAGGAAAGATGAGTGTACAGAATAAAGGCACTGGCCTGAAACTCAATGACAGTCCAGCTAGGAGCGCACTTTCTCTGGGGTAAATTCCAAGGCTGGATCCAGTGGGTTGGGTGAGAGTCATAGGTATACTCAGAATAGTAAAGAAGAAGAAAATTCACCTTAATTCTATGTTAGATCAAAAATAAAACTGGGAGGAATTTCCACTTCTGGGAAGATGGAGTAGATGTACTTTTCCCTACCTCTCCCACTAAGTACAACAAAACCCCCCTGACATCATATACAAAACAAACATAAGAAGACCTTGAAAGGTAGAAAGAAAAAGGCACACTGGCTAGGGACCTTGGGACAAGACGAATGACAAGTTGGTGAGTTCTTTGAATTTTCTTTTTGCCTCATATATCCTAGACTTGGAGCTGAAGAAGCCAACAACCTGGAAATGCCAATGCATGCAGACAAAAAAAGACCAACAAAGGCCTATTCTTTCTAGCCAAAGGACCAGGAAAGAGGCAGTCTAGCAAGACAGAAAACTTGTTAAAATGATGACTCCTGCAGACTGTGATGTTATATATATATATGTAATACCTAGAGCACCATTAAAAATGCTATACAAAGAGATACACTCAAAAACACTATAGATTAAAAATAAAACAAAGAAAACACTATAGATACATAAAAATGGAATTCTAAAAAATGTTCAAGTAGCCCACAGGAAGGCAGAAAAAATTAAACAGAGAAATGAAAAACAGAGATGGCAGAAAACAAAAAACAAAATGGCAGGCATAAGCCCTAACATATCAATAATCACATGAAATATAAAGGGTTTTAATACATCAGTTAAAAGACAGAGGTTGGCAAAGTGGATTAAAAAACATGACCCAACTACTCTATGCTATATAAAAGAAACTCACTTCAAATATAACAATATAAGCTGGTGGAAAGTCAAAGGATGGAAAAAATTATATCACGAAAACATTCATCAAAGGAAAGCTGGAGCGGCTACATTAATATTAAATGAAGTAGACTTTAGAGCAAAGAAAATTACCAGAGACACAGAGGGACATTATATAATGATAAAAGGGTCACCCCAACAAGAAGACATAGCTATCCTAAATATGTGTGCACCAAACAATAGAGCTTCAAAATATATGAAGCAAAAGATGATAGAACTGAAAGGAGAAATAGACAAATCCACAATTAGAATCGAAGACTTTAACACTCATCTATCAACAACTGAGAGAAGAGCTAGACAGAAAATCAGCAAGTACATGGAAGAACTCAACACCACCATCCATGTTCACAGATTGGAAGACTCAAAACAGTAAAGGTGTCAGTTCTCCCCAAGTTGACGTATGAGTTTAATGCAATTCCTATAAAACTCCCAGCAAGAATTTTTTGTAGATATAGACAAAATTATTCTAAAATTATATGGAAAGGCAAAGGAACAAGAATAGCTAAAACAATTTTGAAAAAGAAGAATAAAGTGGGAAAAATCAGTCTACCTCATTTTAAGCCTTACTATATAGCTACAGTAATCTAAATTCTATGATACCGGTGGAGGGATCGACATACAGATCAGGAGAACAGATGACCCAGAAATAGACCCACACAAATAAGCCAAGGAAAGATAGCCTTTTCAACAAATGTTTCTGGAGCAATTGAACATCCATCAGTAAAAAAGGAAACCCCACCTAAATCTCACATTTTATGGAAAAATTAAATCAAAATGGATCATGGACTTAAATGTAAAATGTGAACTATAAAGTTTTAGGAAAAAAAACTAGGAGAAAAATCTTCATGATATAGAGCTAAGCAGAGTTTGTAGACTATAGTCCATAAAAGGAAAAACTGATAAAATTTAAAAATGTTTGCTCTGTGAAAGGCCCTGTTAAAAGGATGAAAAGACAAGTTAAGACTAGGAGAAAATATTTGCAAACCACATATTCAACAAATAACTAATATCTAGAACATACAGAGAATTCTCAGAACAACAGTTAAAAAAGCAAACGATCCAAATGGAACATGAGCAAAGACCTTTCACTGAAGAAGATAAATAGACGATAAATAAACATATGAATAGATGTCCAACAATATTAGCCATCAGGGAAATGCAAATTATAACCCAATGAGGTATCACTACACACCTATCAGTCTGGCTAAAATAAAAAATAGTGATCATATCAAATGCTGATGAGGATGTGGGGAAACTGAATCACTCATATATGGCTAGTGCGATTTAAAATGGTACAGCCACTCTGGAAAACAGTTTGGCAGTTTCTTATAAAACTAAACATGTAACTACCACCCCACTGAGTTACTGCACTTCTGGGCATTTATCCTAGAGAAATGAAGACTTATGTTCACATAAAAATTTGTACACAAATGTTTACCTACTTAGGTTTATTCGTAATAGGTAAAAACTAGAAACAATGCAGATGTCCTTCAACATGTGAACAGTTAAACAAATTGGTACATCCAGACCTTGGAATACTAATCAACAATAAAAAAGAAAAAACATTGATATTGCAACAACCTGGATTGTCTCCACAGAACCGTATTGAGTGAAAAGAGCCAAACACCAAAGGTTATATACATCAAAGGTATGATTCCATTTATATAACATTCCTGATATGAGAAAATTATAAAAACTGAGAACAGATTAGTGGTGGCCAGGGGGCTAAGGAGGGGTGGGGTTGGGAGGGAAGTGGGTGTGGCTATTAGAAGGCAACATGAGGGATTCTTGTGATGGAAATGCTCTCTGTCTTGACTGCATCAGTATCAGTATCCTGGTTGTGATATTATAATATAGTTTGGCAAGATGTTTCCAT